AGAGAGAGAGAGAGAGAGAGAGAGAGAGAGAGAGAGAGAGAGAGAGAGAGAGATTTGAACTTTTATGCAAAGGAACATTCACATATAAGCTCATATATGTTTTTATATATACACATGTGTAAAAACTACTGTTGCTGGGCAGAATGGTTCACACATTTAATCTCAGGACTTAAGAGGCTGGTCAATCTTCAAGTTCAAGGACACTTTACTGTAGATAGTGAACACAAGCCAGCCAGAGCTACACAGTGGGATCTCTCCAAAAAAAAAAAAAAAAAAAAAAAATTAATGCAACTCTTACTTCATCATTGTTTTTCTCCATTTCCCCTAGCCCTGCCTCCCTACCACATACCCTTCCGTGTCCTTCTGGCTATACTTACCCTCAATAGGCTCCATAATTTAAAGAACAAATGGTATTTTTTCTGTATATTACTCAGAACTTTCATTTCATTTACAATGTCCACATTATGTTTTCCAACATAGTTTATTTTTAGTTTGACTTTCATAATTTTCATAGTTTTTTTTTGTTGCTGTTGTTGTTTTACCAATTTCTTACTTACTCTAAAAGTCTTTAAGAGGAATAAATATGTTCTCCTCAAGCCTTAAAATTAGCATCCTCAAGCCCAAAACCAGACAACTTTCTTGATAACAGGAGTTGAATTTCTGTGACCTTGACTATTTTAATAGTATTAAAATGCATGAAAATAAATAAACACATTAGAATATGTAAGGTTCACGTTTTTCAAATATTTGTTGCACAGTTGGCTTATCAATTTTATTTGTTTTGCTGTTTGCCAGAATAATGTCTTTACAATTGAATATCCATGCTCCCAGAAGTCTTAAGGATTAGAGAGAGTTGGATTTTCATCACTACTTTGTTGCTCACTCATTTAACCTGGGCCATTTGTTCACTCCAACGTTGGGTTTTCTTCTTTATATTAGGATGTTTGTGATCCCTACCTTCTAGCTGGATCTGAAAAAGCTGAGTAAATATATGATCATAAACGTGCAAACAGCACAGTATTGCCACAAAATTGGCATAGATTAAATCATTTTTAAACTCTTCCTCAGAAAACTTATATTTTGCTTGTGTCTAATGTCTTAGGAACTTTCTAGCTCATCTTGAAGAATTCTTAGCAAAGCCAAAGTAAAATTCTACTAGGTTACACCCTTGGCATAAGCCACAAGAAATGTGGTAGAAACAAGCCAAACACAATACTTGGAAGACGCTTGCCTTTAAAAGCCTGATAGATAGGTCTGAGTTCTCTAGAAATAGAAGCCAGAGTTCCCTGAGTTCAGAATCTGGATCATGTGTGAAAATGTGACTGATGCAAAGACGTTGAGAAATCAAAGGGAAATACTGAGTGGCTGCCCTTACATAACTTTGGGTTAGTAGTGTCTACCATTTAAGAGCCCATTGGGATTTATGAGAATTCTTTAATATATGATATGCAGCCGGGCGTTGGTGGCGCACGCCTTTAATCCCAGCACTCGGAAGGCAGAGGCAGGCGGATCTCTGTGAGTTCGAGGCCAGCCTGGGCTACCAAGTGAGCTCCAGGAAAGGCGCAAAGCTACACAGAGAAACCCTGTCTCGGAAAAAAAAAAATATATATATATATATATATATATATATATATATATATATGATATGCATTTCTGCTGTGGGATGTTCTGTATGTCCTGTGGGAGCCCATTCTTGGGTTCCTCGTGGCTTTATCCAGCAGGTCCGCATAGAGGATGATTAGGACCACGGGCCTGAGTGCAGGTGTCTGAGATGGTCTGTACTTGGCTGTGCTGGGGGATGATCTGTATGTCAAATTGCTCTGATTGGTTAGTAAATAAAACACTGATTGGCCCCGTGGCTAGGCAGGAAGTATAGGCGGGACTAACAGAGAGGAGAAATAAAAGAACAGGAAGGCAGGAGTCACTGCCAGCTGCCCACCAGCACAAACAGCATGGAAAATGCCTGTAAGCCACGAGCCACATGGCAGGGTATAGATTTGTGGAAATGGATTAATTTAAGCTATAAGAACAGTTAGCAAGAAGCCTGCCACGGACATACAGTTTGTAAGCAATATAAGTCTCTGTGTTTACTTGGTTGGGTCTGAGCGGCTGTGGGACTGGAGGGAGACAAAGATCTGTCCTGACTGTGGGCAAGGCAGGAAAACTCTAGCTACACATTTCTTTGAGATGAATTTTTTGCTGTGAAAGTATGGTCTATGGAGAAATCAGACTGTAAAGCAATGAAATTATAATGTTAAATGTTTAAGATATATAGAAAATGCACTTCAGGTAATTTTGTTTGTTTGTTTTGTTTTTTAAACTTTTATCGATTCTTTGTGGATTTCATATCATGTATTCCAATCCTACTTATCTCCTTGCATCTGCCCTCTGCCCTTGCAACCTGCCCCCAAATTAAAACCAAATTTAAGAGAAAGCAAAAAACAAAAAGAAGAAAAAGAGGAAGGAGGAGGAGGAGGAGGAGAGGGATGAAGAAGAGGAAGAGGAAGATGATGATCTTTTGGAAGCTGTAGTATGACCTGTTAAGTCACACAGTTTATCCTTTAGTCCATTCATCTTTAATTGTAGGTGTTCACTATCAGAATCATTGGTCTAGCTGGAGGTCTCTGGTTTCTGCTACACTACCAATAATGGTCTCTCACTGGGGCTCCTCTTGGATATCCTGTTTTTCTATGTCATGAAGATCCTGCTGTTTTGGATCTGCAGGTTCAGCTTGCTGGT